GGCGTCCCCAACAACAGCATCCTCGCCATCGCGTTGCTCGTCGCCGCCAACGCCGTCGTCTGGGCCGCCTGCGGCGTGGTGCTGCGCTTCCACCCCAAGCTCATCTCGCCCGCGGCGCTGTCCTACACGCTCGGCTTGCGGCACGCGCTCGACGCCGACCACATCTCCGCCATTGACTTGATGACGCGGCGGCTCATCGCCTCCGGCCAGCGGCCGGCGACCGTCGGCACCTTTTTCTCGCTCGGCCACAGCACCATTGTCATTGTCACCTGCGTCGTGGTCGCGGCGACGAGTGGCGCGCTGCGCGACCGCTTCGACGGCTTCACGCGCATCGGCAATATTGTCGGCACGTCAGTTAGCGCCGCGTTTCTGATTGTGCTGTGCATAGGCAACGGATGGGTGCTCTACAAGCTCGTCAGGCGGCTGCAGCAGGTTCTGGCCGAGAGGCGCCGTGCGGAGGAAATGGGAGAGTATGGCGCGCCCGTGACCGAGTACGATGCCGAGGCGACGGCCAGCGGGCAGTTTAATCTTGAGGGTGCCGGCTTCATGGGCAGGGTACTGGGTTTTCTCTTCAGAGCCATCGATAGGCCGTGGAAAATGTACCCTTTAGGTGTCGTCTTTGGTCTCGGCTTTGACACGAGCTCTGAGATTGCCATTCTCGGAATCGCCAGCATTCAAGCTGTTCAGGGAACCAGCATCTGGTTAATTCTCATTTTCCCCATCTTATTCACCTGTGAGTTTGGATTCGTGGATTATAGATGGCACAGCACTAATAATCACATAGCCGGCATGTGTCTAGTGGATACTACAGACGGTGCACTCATGATGGCTCTGTACACGTCCAAGGCATTCTCACGAGACGTCGTCGCCATCTTGTACTACTCCATCGTACTCACCGGCATTACCGTCGTCGTATCTGCTTTTATCGGCATTATCCAGGTGCTGTCACTTGTCCAAAATGTTGCCGAGCCCGAAGGGCGTTTTTGGGACGGCGTCTCCGCCATAGGCGACAACTTTGAAATAGTCGGTGGCAGTATTGTCGGCGTATTCGTCGTCGTAGGACTAGGATCCATTCTCATCTATCGACCTTGGAGACGGCGCATGGAGCGTAAACGCCAAGGACTAGCCGCTTCTGCCGATGCTAGAGCGAGATATGTTGATGGTCCCGAGACACCACTTTCGCAAGAAGAAGAAGCAACGCCTCGTCATCTAATGGACTGATAATTTGCATCGCTATTTGAATCACTATCGCTTAGTTCAGGCTAATAAATCAAACTCGGTAAATTCCACGTCTTCCATTGTGCGTTGCCGTCGTCTGTTTAATCAGCTTCGTAATAGGCAAATAGTACGCAATTGGTGCTTTGATGGCATCTTGCGCATATTCGCGTAGCCACTGTGACCTTTGGCACCCGTTTGAATGGTGGCCAAATCCCGAGCGTCTGATGCATTCTCTCCACGACTCGCCTGTCTCGATCGTGAGGGTTCATCGTATTCAAGAATGCTGTGCAAACAGAACAGAGCCATCTTCCTTTGCCGTCGACGTTCTCTTTGACAAGTGACTTTGTCCAGTCAAGGATAGACCCAAAAAGGGTCCTTTTCGGGGGGCTTGCATAAGGTGCTGGAGTGTCTGCTCTTTCGACAATGTCATCCTCTCGCTCTGCCGCTCTGGCGTTGTGAATTGGTGCGACGGGTCTCAGTTCTCGCAGTTCAGAGACCCTGGCCTGGCGGATAGGATCAAACCGATCCAGATTGCTCTCTTTCATCCTAGACAGGCTCATCGCAGCATCGTAATAGCTGGGCGGCAACTGTGGGAGTATCGGCCCGCCTTGCTTCGCTAGTCGAGCTTGATAGGACCCGCCGGAGGGAGCATATCGTATTTGACGGACGTGCTCAGCTTTGACGTCTTGCTGCTTTCGAGTAAGCATGAGTTATCTGCTAATACATCCAGATCGAAGCACTTACTTGTGCAAGTCGCGTATCATCGGTTGCCTTGGTCAGTTCCACACCGTGGGGCTCCTCTGAATTTTCCACATGCTCCTAATGAACGGATGATGGACTTTCCATTCCTCTGTACGGATTCTCGGAGGTCTCGCGGCTATGTGGTACTGTTGTTTTCCAAGATGCGGCAATTTTCTCCCAAAGTCCGGCAGCACTTCTTGGAGGCCAGCTAGCGCCTTTTGAACGTCCGGCCGTTTGTTCCGGAGACCGCGAATCGACCAGATCATCGGAGTAGTAAGAAGGAGGTGGAATATTGGCAAGAAAACGACGGTGAGGCCGGTTCCCATCCAGTCGCAAGCCGCTTTGGGTACTTCCCTGAGTACTACTCCCGCTGAAAGTAGATTGGTCTCTTTTACTCCGCATGTCATAATACTCGTCCTAATTAGAATTCTTGACAAAAATGTACTCTAGCAATCCACCTGCGGATCTGCTACGTTTTGCGGATTGCCAAATTCGCTTCGGGGGGCGAGGCTTTCGGGGAGCCATTGATTCAATTACTCTCTCTGGCGAGGAAGATTGGCGGCCTGATTTTGAGGCAGTCTTGAAGCTTTCTCGGTTATCGGTGTACAAATCTTCTTCTTCTTCGTCTTCTGCGACAGGCGAAAGAGGCACGGCTGCCAGAGCTGACTGAATGTCAAACGTGTATGACGGCGTTGGTACATTCTCTGGTGATGGCAGATCTTCTGGTGATGGCAGATCTCCTGGCGATGGAAGTTCTTGTGGAGTTTGAGGCTGATTTGACGTTGAAATAAGATGTTCGACAATTACTCGAGGCTCATCTTGGGCTTGGCTGGAAGTTGACTGTGCGTCGTCAGGAACATCGGCTAGTGTATCAGCTGGTTCATCAAGCGGAGTCTCCTCGGGCCTTGATGAGGGATCCATGGTGGGATTCTAGGGCGGTGAAAAAATAAATATCATAAAAGAGTGTAGAGGCGATAACTTGAAAAGAATGAGGATTGTGTGATATTGAGATGCCGTGAGTAGCTCCATTTGCCAAGTGCTGGCGCTTTGGCGAACCACGCCAACAGGAAGGCGCCCCAGAGAAGAGGCAGCCGCAGTGAGTCAGCCACGCATTGAATCAATTGTTGCCATTCTTTTGCTTCATGGTGGCTAGTCTAGCATTTCGACTGCCTTTTCGAGCCTTGGCCGATGATGATGGGATTTTGGTTGTGCCCATGCTAGCACAGCACGTACGTCCCTGGCCGATGACGCTACAACCCATGCTTATCGCGCTACAAGTGGTCCTTATCGACCCTGCGAAACCTCCTTCTAACAACTGCCATCACCACATCATAGCGACTGCTATCATGTAGCCTCGTGCGCTGTGCATCGCCCATTTTTTTGATTCATCATTATATGAAAGCACAGGCGCAAACATGGCTTCCCCGACAGCACCTACCCGCCGCAGCACGGGCTCCTCAGCCGGGTCGCTCCAACGATCGGACGAACGAGCTTCTATAGCAGCCAACATTCCTCTCGAGACGCTGGTCACTCATTTACTAGCTGCGAAACGATCGCTCTCATCGATGAATCATGTTCTTCGCGCCAATGAAATAGCTACATCAGCCCGGAATGCGCATGAGGAAGCAGCTCTGCTCTCTGCCCAGGCTAACTTTCTTCGCGGAGCTACTCTTGACCAGGCTGCCATCCTTGTCAAGGTACGCCGCAGCCTCCAATCGACGTATGACTGGAGCAAGAGGGATTTTAGGGTGCTCGTCAAGTCCATGGATGGTGTCGATGGCAAGCTTGGCCGAACGATAGAATCTCTGCGATCTACGCAGATCAGCGACCTCCTTCGCCCACAAGACGAGCAACGAAAGAATTTACTAGATTTTGTCGACGAGGAAGGCGTCAACAGGATGAGAGACGCGATGAAGAAGAGTATAGAAGAGCTTCAGGTATGTAGCGTGATCTCGGTTGCTGAGCTCTGGCTGACTAGTTGCAGGGCATCCAGCAATCATTCGACGGCGACCTCCTTCGTTTCGACAACGACATTCGTGACCTCAAGAAAGTCATCATTGCATCGCAAACACAAGACTCGGGTGACGAGGACCAGGCCTCGCAACCATTCACAATGGACATATTGATGGAGATACTCGAGAACTCGACCGCGATGGCGCAACTGCTGGCATCCTTGACAAACCACTTTGACATGTGTGTGACGGCAATTCGGACAACAGAAGGCGGCGCAGCTCTAGCTCGCCGCCGAGCTGCCGAGGTGAATCAGGCTCAAGGCAGCGATGGTGTCTCCATATCGGGTGTCATTGCGGAGCAGGAATCCAACATGTCCGACTTGGAGTCAGTCACGGATAGTGACAGAGCAGAAATGCTCCATGTTGTTGTACAAGATGCAAGCGAGGTCAGCGATGTTGTTGAGGAAATCCAAGAGCGTCTCGCGGTCATGGAGCAAGACTACAAGATCCTGGGGCAACGTAATGTCGCAGCAGAGAAATCGTACATTTCTATGCTTGACGCGTTCACCGTACTCGGAAGCATTGGTGACCGTCTGAATGACTACCTTGCCGCAGAACAAGACTTTAAAACGCGATGGGACCTGGAGAAGGAGACTGTGTTTGACAGAATGACGGAGATGGAGGAGATGCGAGGCTTCTACGACGGTTACGGGAGCGCATACAAGTCGCTCATATCGGAAGTGAAGCGCCGAAAAGCTGTTGAGGATGGTGTGCAAAACGTCTGGCGCATGGCGCAAGCCAACGTGGACAAGCTGTTAGCCGCCGACAAAGCATCTCGAGAATCATTTCGGCAAGATGTGGGTGAATACCTTCCGACTGATTTGTGGCCAGGTATGCATGCTCGGCCACAACGATGGAAAGTGACTCGTATTGAGGAGAAGGACGATGAAGACGAGGGCGGCCAAACTCGCGAAGAGAGCCTTGGCTAACTGAGCAAGCGCCATTTGACCTTGGATTAGATGATCTACAACCAAGACTGGGGCCAAACTGGACAATCAAGTAGCAGCATACAGGATGTTTGGCGATAATTGCTTGTTTTTTTTTTTTAAGATGCGTGTTGGATAGGCAGGCGTAACGGCAGGTTGTATTTATTTCGTAGTTTAATTGGCGTCTCTGGCGACGGATATCTTCCAGATAGACACAGATTGGCATACAACGATAGCTGCAATAGCGAACGAATATACACCACTTGAAAACCTTTCAATATTTTCTATCCATCTCCCCATTCCCTAATTCCCCATTTTCTAATCAAGCCCCAATTTCTTAGCCACCGCCATCTCTGTCAATTCATCCAAAGCCCCACAAAGGGCAAAAAAAACGAGGGCCACACATGCACTCACGACAATACCACTAAACAAAAAGAATTAAACCACAAAAGGATATAATTTGACAAGACTGGGATTTGAACCCAGGCGGATTTCTCCACTACGATTTAGGTAATTTCCCTGAACGTAGCGCCATGACC